AGGGACGGTACATTCACGATAACATCATGCTAGTACATGAACTAGCACAATCCCTTGGCCATGATTGTCGAGGCTCTAACATCATCATCAAATTAGACATGGAGAAGGCCTTTGATAGGATAGAGTGGAGTTTCCTCATTAAGGTTCTTAGACGCTTTGGGTTCACCGACGACTTCATTGACTTAGTCGATGCATGTGTTAGGGAGAATCATTTCTCTTTATTAGTGAACGGTAGCTCCACACTATTCTTCACGGCCACGAGAGGTCTACGACAGGGCGATCCACTATCACCCACCCTCTTCATCTTAGTTGAAGAAGTCCTCAGTCGATCCCTCACCCGAGCGATCAATCAAGGACTTATCCGACCATACTACTCGAAGAGGGGTTGCCCGATCATCTCACACTCCCTCTTTGCTGATGATGTGATACTCTTCCTCAATGGATGTGAGACATCCATTAGAGGGCTCATGAGTATTATCTCAAGGTATGAGCGAGCTGCAGGTCAACTCGTAAATGCCTCGAAGAGTAGCTTCATAGTAGGCCCTTCTACCCCCATAGGGACCATACGACGCATCCAGGGCCTAACAGGGTTCTCTCGTGGACACTTACCTTTTGACTATCTAGGATGTCCTATCTTCCTCGGCCGTAGGCACATACACTATTTTGACGCCCTAGTGGGCAAGTTGAGGAAGAAACTAGCAGGATGGAAGTTACAACTTCTATCCCCTGGAGGACAGATCCAGTTGATACGCCATGTTCTCATGAGCATACCATTACACCTTTTGGCAGTCCATGAGGTATCAGACACCGTCTTACAGACTATTAGACGGATATGCACGTCCTTCCTTTGGGATGGACAACTTGAGGAACCTCGTCGTCAACGCCGAGTTTCTTGGAAGAAAGCATGTCGACCTACGGATGAGGGTGGCCTAGGTATTAGGCGCCCTCAAGATGTACTTAACATGCTTCAAAAGAAACTCATTTGGAGGATGAAGACCACACCATCGGTGCTAGGTACTTTTGTGTCAGCCAAATATGGCGAGTGGGCTCGACAGCCGGCCGACATCAAACGAGTCAAACGATGGGCAGACTGGCAGCGACATTGGTTGGAGATGGTGCCTCTTATTCGTTGGCGAGTGGGGCGAGGCGAGATCAGTGCCTGGTACGACACTTGGCTAGAGGACACACCATTGGTCAGTTTTACCACTTTCACATCTTCTTGGCCTCGCTTGACGGTAGCCCAGCTTCTCCAAGGAGACACTCGTCTACTTATTGAGAGGCATGGACTACCGTCGGACTTGTTACCAGCCATCACCATGACTGAGATGAGTTTTACTGAGGACCAACCCATCTGGACACTTACCATAGATGGTAGTTTCTCTTGTAGCTCCTCTTGGGAGCACTTTAGAAACCGCTCCCCAAAGACATTTTGGGGAAATCTCATATGGCATCCGGCCATCACACCTCGTGTTTCGTTCTTCTTGTGGAAGTTCATGCACCGAGGACTACCCACCGACGATCGAGTGATTGTCACCGATCAGGAGGTGGAAAGGAAATGTCATTGTTGCTCCATCACGACAGACGAAAGTATGGAACATTTATTTTTCCATAGTGATATCGCTGTCGAGTGTTGGCGTCAACTTCTAACGAATTGGCTTCCAATGCTCTCATACAGACCTACGAGACCACCACTAGAGGTCTTTAGGAGAGTCTTTGACTCACCGACGAGTGTCAAGGTTTGTCGTTTCATCCGTATCTCCATAGCATATATGTTATGGGAAATATGGAAGGGACGTAACTCATCTCGATATGCAGGCCAAGTGATGCGTGCCACAAAGATTATGAGGCACGTAACACAATGGCTTCGGAGTACTCATTCCTTAGTGCCAAATAAAACGAAATGCTCGCGTTCTGTTTGTGAGGCTTTTGGGCTTTGGAGACTCCATATCATACCTACACAGACCTGGACTACTGTCCGATCTGTTAGATGGACACCACTGAGGGCTGGACAGTGGAAACTCAACGTCGACGGAGCATCTCAAGGCAACCCAGGATCATCTGGAGGAGGCGGTATCTTACGCGATAGTACAGGATGCATTCTCTTTGCCTTTTCGAACTTTTATAATATACAAACTAATACTGTGGCAGAGGCTATGGCAATACGGGATGGTTTGTTTCTTTGTGAGGAGCAAAATATTACTAACATTGTCTTAGAATCTGATTCCAAAGTGTTAGTGGACATGTTACGTGCAGACTCTTGTCCTCATTGGAGGCTCAACAATATCTGGGCAGACATCATGCGATGTCGAAGACGCATCACAACTATTACGCATCAATTCCGAGAAGGGAATCAGACAGCTGACGCCCTTGCTACGCATGGAGTCAGATCGCGTCGGAGGACAGTCTTCTCTTTTTGGTAGGACATGCCCCTGGAAGCCCGAGGTGCTCATAGACTTGAGCGACTCGGCATACCCTCTTTACGCATACACCGCACTCCACTACCGGCACCTCCACGACAGTGGCGTATTGCTTGGAGGAGATCAGGGGTGGTTACTATTGGCCGCTGAAGACCACAATGGAGATACAGGTGCGTGTTTCCTTTGTCTCTATTTTCAGGTCTATCACAAGCCACAACCATGACATCACCATGGCGCTCATCCCATGCCACCGATGTGGAATGCACTTTGCCTATCAGCACAACACAGACAACAAAGCACATCGTAATCCACTCGGGTACATTACTTCCAATCATTACTCTCCTCATAATCACATCACATCTACTATCTATCATGCTCAAGTAGTGAGGACATAGAACTATCAGCATATGTTGGCATCGGCCCACTTTTGAACTATAGGTCTATAGCACATCAGACCTGCCAAACTAGTTGTGAATCGGCAACCTAGCACCTCTCTCAAGATCTTATTAGTACCATCAGCCAGCTTGAACCCATGAGAAGGTAAAGATCTATATCCATAGGATTGACCCTCTCTCCTCTCTCTCTCTCTCGATTCTCTATTTCTTTCTCCCTCCCTTTCTCTCTCTAGAAAAAAAAAAAAAAAAAAAAAAAAAGACAGCCTACTTCTTTTCCCGGAATCACTAGCCCATCATAGACAATTAGTGGAGGGTGAGGGAAAGGGCCCTAAAACCAAAAAACAAAAAAAAAAAAAAAAAAAAAAGGGCAACCTTTTTCCCTTCCCTTAATCACTAGCCTAATGTACACCAAATAATGGGCATTAGTGGAGGGTAAAAGAAGAGGCCCTCAAGGAGAGAGAAAGAAGAGAGAGAGAATAAGAGAAAAGAAAAGAGTTAGAACCAGAGACCAAGTCATTCCTCGTGGGGTGAAAGGTCCCTTACCTACTTAGAGGAAGTACGGCAACTGATGATACTAACAAGATCTTGGCTAGAGGGATTAGGCGCGTGCAACACTAGCAAGGCAAGTTCATATTTGGGCTTATTGTCATGCTTCAGCATAGTTCTATCCTCTTCACTGCCCTAATAACTATTTTCTCACCACTTTATATCAATTTGTTTATCTCTTAGAACCACTTACTGCAACAAACTCTTGTCTTGTAGGAACATTGCATGGCGCACAACATGGAGCTCTCGTCCTACTCCTGTTGAGCAGATCTTCCAACTTTCATGCACTCAAAGGCTTTTTCAACCCAATGCAAATCAATCACCTTCCTCAAATATGATGAACGCCTTGGAGTCTATCTCCAGTATCATCACATCTCCTCTTCAAAAGAGGTCTTTCATTCTTCATGTCATCCTCGCCCCTTGTGCGAATGAGATCCCACTTATGTAACCTCGGAATGAGGTCAAACTTTTATCACTCAATCAAATTTCTTCTTTAAAAATAAAAAAAATAAAAAAATAAAAAAAAATATGATTCTTTCTACTTTTATAAATCTTAATTTGATCAATAAAATCATTTTTAATTGCTTACGTAAGAATCATCGAGCGTAACTCTACTTTCACTTGATTTACGTTTGTCGAGTGCTGACATCATCCTAATGTCTGCGCCCTTATTTCTCTTTTTCACGAATTTTAAATATATTTCATTTGCATTTCTTATCAAAAATTCACAAAAAATTGTATTCTTTGAAGAAAATTATAAAAACTTACCTGATACTATATTACATCTCATTGATCAACTTAGAAATTTTTTACTATTTTTGAAACTTGTATTAAATTATAATTGATATATTTGTTTAAAAATACTTCTAAATATCTGAAAATTAGTATTTTCTAGTATTATAAATTTTAAATTTACGTGATTTATTATACAACAATTAAGTCATGGCAAGTCCCGAAGTAAATTTCTCTAGATCTGATGCATTTCAAGTGTGAACAACTATTTAGCTTTCATAGATTTAAATAGATAGAGATACATTGTAAACTTCACATTACAATTTGTTTGAATGTTTTCTCCCCTTTAATCACTTTTTACATCGCTGAACTTCTATTTCCCCTTTATTTGATGATGAAAATATTTCTTCTCGCTTTTTCTTTGAGTTCATTTGATTTTAATCTATTAATCAAATAAACTAGTAACTAATTAATGCCTAATTCTCATTCCTTGTGGATCGACCTCAAACTTACCACATACTTATTTATTTTAGTATTTTAATTTGATAAATTTGTGATTCTAAATATTTTTGGTTAACTGATTTTGAGGCTTTTCAACAACCCTCGATTTCATTTTTGTAACCAAACTCTTCCCACCCCGTCATAGATGCTGACAAGAGCTCAGGGGAGTCCAACAAGGAGTAGACGACAGACCTTGCCGGCACGAAATGGCCCTCGAGTCGGTGCAGGTGCTTTACACAGGCCACATCAAAGACAGTGGTGGTGCCATCCATGGACACAACGTAAGACATTAAATATTTTGTCCTAAGTAAACCCAACATTGCGTTAATCAGATGCGTCAAATGCGTGAGATCACCTCGGACTCTGTGGCAGAAGAAATTGAATGGCCACTAATAGTGACGTCTATTACTCAGTCAGTCCGACCAACCAGCTTGATGCCGTCGGGAACGTCCCTGCAGTGCGTCACGTAGGAGATCTCCTTTCCCGGATCGGAGAATGACTTGCAGGACTTGCAGTCATACCATGGCGGCGAGTGGAAACAAGGGTCCATGGACGTCTCCCTCATGCAGGCGGGTTCCGGCATCTTGCCGCCATAAGGCCTTACAAGGATCCAGGGTCGTATACCAGCGAGCCCCTGCGCAATGTACCCGAACGTTGACCCGGTGCTCGTCACCAGAACGTCGGCAAAGCTGAGGAGATATATCTCCGCCCACGCCTTAAGGTCATGGTTCTCCGATCCCGTCTGCTGCCATTCCTCGTGACTTGGCTGGTGAACACTAACCACGGCGCCGCCCTTGTTGGGGTGCTCCCAATACATATTCCTGATTCGGTCAGAGAATTGGGAGTGAAGGGAGGCAATAAGAACGACCTTGGTATTGTTTAGGTTGGCAGAGACGATTGGCCTGTCCAAAGCCACTGGCGGCAGCAGCCCTTCTCTGAGTGTGCAGTTTATGGCCTGATCCGCTACCAGGTCTAAAGGTGATTCGTCCTTGTTGAATATTCTGATCTGGATCCCCAATTTCTCCCTACCCATTGAGAGGTAGGACTGGTAGTACCTGGTAATCATCCCCCAGACGGTGTCGGACGGATGGAAGAGGTACCTGCTCATGTGGTGGAAAACAGTCTCCTTGTCTGGGAACAACCGGCTGAGCTCCGGTTCGAACATTCGGTTCAAGAACAACGCCGGCACGAAGTAGTTGTCCGCCTTGAGCACCATCCATGGCATCCTGACCAGGAACTCCTGGTCGGGCTCGCAGAAAAATCGCTTATCATTGTTGTCGTATCGATAAGTCATGTGGACGTAGATGAAGGGGAGGGGAGGCCCAGTCACGACGCCACTGCTAGCGATGCTAATCTTACCGTACCTCAGCATGTTGCCGTAGCTCTGGTTGTTCTTCGACTCGAAGACTTGGAAATCGACGGGAAAGTTAGTGGGCACGAGCCACGTGGCATCAGGGAAGGGCTCGCAGAAGAGAGCGGTGAGATCCTTCCCTCGGTCAACGAGCATGACCCTCCCAGTAAGGAGAGAGTACAAGAACGCCGACGCCAAGGTGAGTATGTGGTTTCCCAGGCCATTATAGGACGTCCAAACCAGGTACTTGCACTCGGCAGGGGGAAGTGGTGTCACGCTGGAGTCCCCTTCACTGTTCTTCAACAGCATTAGGGTTTTATTGTAGGCCGCTGTGTGGGGGGCGCACCGTCGGTGGAGATCTTCGTACTGTCGCAGCCTCTGCACGAGGTAAGGAGACGGCTTGTGGGGCGAGGGCTTCCGGTAGATGGTGGATTCGAACCTACTCCGGCAGGACTCCCCGTTGAATCCAGTGGCGAGGAGGCCACCGAGATACTTGTCCTTTGATAGATCTGAAGGCGCATAGAAAATCAAATCTCCTCGCTTGACTCAAAAGATTGAGAACTCAACCAATTGTCCAACGAGAGAGAGAGAGAGACAGACAGACAGACAGACAGACAGACAGAGATAGAGACAGAGACAGAGACAGGGAGGGAGAGTAAGACTGACCATCTCCATGGCCACGGCGGTGCTGTTCGGACGACCGGCGCTGGTTGTGGATACCAGAGATGTATATAATGGGGATCCTGTAGGCTCCGGACACAAAGGCCAAGGTGGGGAAGGTGAGACAGGCGATCACGAACCAGACCTTCGCCAGCATCCTTGACTGTTTTTGCAAGGCTGGTCGAGAGGACTCTCCGCCATACGTCCCATCGCCCACTTCGACGAGCTCAGCAACGGAATCAGAGGATTGTTGTTTTCCACTCGACATCCTAATATGCGTTGTCATAACGATGACGAAGAGAAAGAGGAGACAGGCAGAAGCGGAAGGAAGCCAAGGGCGAGACGAGTGAGAGGTCGTGCCCACCGGGGAATCCCCTGGCGTGCAACTGCTGGTGGATATGTTCTCTATGACCGGTTAAGAGGAAAGGAGGATTATCGAGGATAGAAGTCGTAGGCTAGGCCAGACTCTAAAGCTACCCGCTAACATCTCTAGTGTCATTCAAGCGATGCCTTATTTTCCTCATTCTTCGTTGGGATTACTGTAAGTAATCTTCTTGAAGTCAAAAAAAAGCGGCGATCACGTGGGGAAGAGGAAGGTGTTTCGTTTTCTGGTATACTCGTGCTCTTCTGTTTTGTGTGATAGTGTACCGCACCGATGTGATGAAAATACGTGGGACGTTGGTTAGAATCATTCGGTATGGCATGAAGGGGGCACACGCGGTTCTTCCATATTGGTTAGAAAACTATTTCGAACACAACATCTTCATGACCAGGATACATAGCAAAGTTGAAGAAAATATGGGATTTGTTCATTGAGAGACTAGAGTGATGGAATCTTGAAGTGTAATCCTTTACATCATCTACAGAACCATTCGTCCAGGCCAGAGGCTCTTCAACATACACCACTAGGACGGGAGGAAAATCGAACATCACGCTTGAAAGTATACTCCTTCGCACAATTCTGAGGAAAACGGACACGGAAAGCTCTACTCTACAAAATGGACAAATGACAGGACACTGTAATAATGAAAAGGAGATTTCAGATTTGTGGACTGTCTTTGGAAGCAGTTGACTGACAGCTGTGACGATGATAAAACATTCAATCAGTTGACTTTTAAAGAGTCATTCACACCTCTTAAATATCAAGTACTATTCTGACAGCGGTGACGATGACAACACATGATTATTAAATTCTACGCTTGAGATAACGAGTTTCTCAGCAGGTAAGATGTATGTATCAGACAATCTAGATGATTTTTTTCGGTAAAACTTTATTTGTAAGATGACTCGTCTAATCTTTTGTTTTGATCTGATCTCTAACTTTACTGTTAAAGGAAACCAATAAGTCAATGAAGAAACTAATAATTAAAATAAATTTAAGGAATGAATCTAAATTCTTACCATTCTTCCGCCAAAGCTTCGTGCTTTCCTTTTTACTTATTTTAAGTTCCCAGATAATATTCATTTTTGGGTAAAAGTTTCAGAAATAGATTCACTAGCTACTCATTTGACGACATGATCTCTTTCTAACACTCATCTCCTCTTCTCAAAAGGCCCCTAACCCACCGCCCTCTACCCCTCAACAGCACCTGCCACCGTCCCCTATATTTCTGCCAAAATCAGCACCGGAATGGCAGGTTGAGTATGTTATAGAAGGTCCCGAGGCTTCTCCCTGGCCTCAAACGAGATCTGCGCTTAATCAACAGCAACCAGTCTTACCAGGTAAGCCCGTTCACAACTCTGCCCATTTCGCCTAGCCGGGGAAAGTGCAGAGATATATGGGAAGACCATAAGAATTACTTTTTTCACGGTAAGTCAAAAAAGTGTAAATGGAACTCAGTTTAGCGTTCGACCTAATTCAGTCTTCTGCACCAAACCAAGTAGTATGCCCAAATAGACCCAGGAGTATTCTAATAAATATGCCACCAGGCATGGATATCCACTGTTGATCCGGAAGCGAAATTTCTAACTGGATCGGACAAAAATGTTATGAATCCGAATCGTGCGGATTTCCTTAATGTCATCAACCGTTCTATTTCCGTAATCACCCTACTATTGTAGTATTTTTAAGAAAAGGAAACGCCATTTACTGTTCATAATTGAGATATGCAATGGCTCGAACACATTTCAAACAGCATTTGATTTTTTACCGTTTATTCTAATACTCGGGCCTTTTTTCTAATTCAGATATTTTCAGTCTTCAAAGGATTATGTTTTGCTCTCCGTCTCGCAAATTTGACTCATGCAGTTGTATCCCAAGCGTCCCACCCAACTTGTGATGCGCTTGCTTGAGCTTTAAGTAGTAGCTCACGCCAATTAAACTAGATGGCAAGGCGTAGAGACTGCGAAACTGTGTCATTAATTTTCATCATTGGAGAAAAAGAAACAATTCTCTTAATCCCAGCATGTAGCACCCGCAGAGTCTGGAAGAGGAACCCGCAACTCCTGCAATGAACCAACGACCAAGGTCTGTAAACACGCACATCTAATAAAATTTAGACCATAATACAGTGCTAATATTATTACAATGGTGGTCACGAAGGAACAACGGAATTCTGGCAGAGACGGGCCAATTTATCAGAATGCGTCAGTGATCTCCTTCATGTTGCTCAGTTGAAATGATGTCTTCAGTGTTGGGCACGTGGCTCATAAAGTGGCCACGTCCATATCAGCTCATAGGGCAGCGGAGAACTTCATTTACTGCGGAAGAGAAATAGAGAAGATGAGACGTGCGAAATAGGCCATGGACCGCTTCTCACGCCCCTCAATGGCCCAGTTATGGGCAGGCCAAGCCAGAAGGAAGAAACGGTTCGGCTGAACCGTTTCAGGTTCAAGGAGGAAACGTTTGGCATGTTTCTCGAGGCAGCTCAAAGAGGTTTATAAATCGAGGCCACCTCTTCTCATCTCGTAGTACCAATGACAAGAGAGTACCAGAGAGATTGGGAGAGGGTTTTCAATGAAGAGATCTCTACTTGTTGGTGCGTCACTAGTGAGTTCTTTGAGGGCTAAGATTTGAGATCTATATTCTGGGATTTTGGGAGTACTTTTCTATAATTCTACTTCATCTAGTAGAGCTTTTCATCTTCGTCCAACATGAAAGGCCGACCTCCGAACCACGTAAATTCTTGTGTCTTCGATTGTGAGTTATTCATTTTATTTATGTCTTCTAGCTTCCGCACTAAATCCATATTGGACTTTTATCTCTAACATTCAACCCAGAAGAGGAATCAAACCTGGCAAGCCCAAGCATGTGGGAGTTGGTTGTAGAGACAAGAATCAGGACTGTCTCCTCGTGCTCTACACGACTTTTATCGTACATGCTTCTCCAAAAACGGAAAAGACATACTGCAGACAAGAAATTAGTGAATGTGGTGGAGCATCTGTTTTCTTTAGATGAACCTGAAGAGCATCTGTTGTCACAGCTGGTATTACCCTCTCTCCCATTCATAAACAAAACCTTGGCAATGTGCATCCTAATATACCCTGTATAGCTTATGTGGGACCCTAGGAGGAAGAGCTTAAAGAAGAGAAGAGGATCCCTTTCCTATGTATTTACTATGTTAATACGAAATCAAATATTGCTACGGAATTTGTTTCTGGTTGGTCGGACAAAAAACTTCACTTCTGTAGTGATTGGGTCGAGGCCATGCACCATAAATTCAGGCAAGATCTCTCGCGTCCTGCAGAATCTATGGGGCTTCCCAGTGGACGGTTGTATGGTTCGGCCACAAATGAACCATTAATGAGGATGCATCATTATCATATTGTTTTTTATCATTTCATAGTGATATTATTCATTATGAGATATTTTAATGCCCACTTATCTTTGAACTCTATATGTTTTCGAATTTTCTCTAGTAGCCCAACGTAAAAAGGTCTCTTGACCATGGGCACAATAAAAACCATGCAATGAAACATAGAATATTCAACATTATTACAGAGCTAGGCAAAGAAATGGAGACAGGAATGACAGAGAATTGCTTCTAACTTTCTTTTTGCTCCTCTCTGTATAGACTTTGGGCGATGTAAATATTGTATGGTTAAACCACAATAGTTTCTTAAACTCAGTTTCACGCTTAGTATTTTGAAATTTTGTACTGCTAACTTAGCATCTATTTGATTTTAGGTTCATAGGTTGGAGAAGGTCATATCAGTGTAATTGGATAAGTCCCTATTGGCAAAAGAATATCCACTACACCTTGCTTCATGGAAACACACAACGTTAGGTTAGTATCCACGGTTATCAAACATATACACTCACATGTTGAAGAAATTATTTTTTCGAGTCAAAACTTAGTTTCTAATATAAACTTTATCGTACTAATTTTCAAAAAAAGAAGATTCTCCTAGACCAGGAAGGTTAACCTCTGAGGGTTGGCAGTCAAAGGATGCTACGCTCTACTGTTTATTATACATAGTAGAGCAGGGATATCAAGCAAGGAACTGGTATCTTAAGAGCCTTAACCTCGTGCTCCTTAAGAAGGGCCTGGAAGGGAAGGAATATCATGGAAAAGGTCCTCTCATCTCTGTCCTATCAATATCGTTAAGTACTAGACTGGATAAGTTCGCTACGTACACTCGAACCAGATCAAATCGCGATTTTCAGATCGTACATAGAAAAATTTCATCTATCGAACCTATTAAAAAAA